AAAGGTTTAAAAATTGAAAGGTTCAATAAAAAAAGAGTATTTAAAATGTTAAAGTTTGTGCTATGAATTAATTCCCGTCAGCGTGCCGATTTGGAAGCAATAATTTCAAAGCAATCTAGGGAAATGGGGTGCTTTTTATCGTATCTTGATTGGTCGATCATAATTAGTAAGGCATGTGATAAAGTTAAATGGAGAAATTATTATACTTCTATGATTGAAATTGTTAAGACCATATGGCCTCAGCCATGTGATCGCATGGCCCACTTTGCTGGCATTTACTTTGCATATTATACTTCTATGATTGAAATTGTTAAGACCATATGGCCTCAGCCATGTGATCGCATGGCCCACTTTGCTGGCATTGACTTTGCATATGAATTTGAGGTATGAATTTTTACCGAGTTGTGTCTAGAATATGTTTGACTTACCTCAGGAGTGATATTTGAATTTAATTGGATTATTGATTGTCAGTGGTACACATATTGCACTAGATAATATAAGTCGAGATTGGAAATTAGGATAAAAATAGGTGGATTCGGAATTCGAGCACCTCATTCTCATATATACTTCATTAATATCTTAGGTAATGATTAGGATTATTTAAAAATAAAGAAATTAAACTTATTGTGTTACGATTAATTCAAGTTTAATAACGTGCTAATACTATTCAATTTAAAGTTTATTCCTCATGGAATGATACTTTCACTCATTCACTAATTGGCTAAAAAATAAAAGGACGATCTCAGAATTTCATGCACAGACTTAAAATCTTTTCGTCCTAAAAGCAAAGCCAATCCGTGACTGCTTACGGCTTCGATTGGCCACACATTTTTCATATACAGATAAATACAGACAAAAGATGCAAGAAATTTAGAGAGGACATGATATTCTTGTCACACATTTATTTTTTGTCCTAATATTGTTGTTTTTGGCGAGGACATGAAATTCTGAGATCGCCCTTTTACTTTTTAGCCAATTAGTGCAGACAGCTTTAAATTTTTATTTTAATTTTTTTTTTATACGAGCCGGACACGGGCCGGCCCTAGCTTCATTTTTATACCTTTTGTAGACGAGTTAGAATGTTCATTTTCATTGTATTTAAAAACTGAATGACAGCTTTCACGTATTTTTAAACATAAATCCAACAAAAAGGGATTAAAAATTAAAACGTTCAATAGAAAGCAAATAGTTAAAATGTTAGATATTGCGCACGTGTGCTGCGAATTAATTACCATCATCATCTCTAGCTCAATAATTACCACATGGGTGAGCTGTGCCGATATTAACTATATTAATTTTTGTCAACCTTTTGTCATTAGATGCTACAGATTAATTACCAGGAAATTAACGCATGGTAAGAAGAATGCAGTGGATATGATTAATTTTATTAAGAGTATAATCTTCGACCAACGGTTTTTGTGCGTGTGAAAATCCCTAATCGGATAATTAGTTAGTAGATAATTACTAGTTACCAACTAGGTTAAATTAAGGGTCTGTTTGGTACAGATTTTTATTTTCTACAGTAAATCAATTCTCATTTTCAACCACACATTCTTCAATAAAATAATATTTTCCATCACATCAATACTTTTTTCTTCTTTTTCAACCACACATTTCCCATCATATCACTATTCAAAAATCAATTTT